GGATGAGATTGACGGCAGCGAGAGTTTAACACGGCTTGCAAGATTTTCAACATGGATGTCGATTTTGACCCATAATTTCCTTAAAAGGGACCATTAAACAGATTATTTCAATCAAGTTAGTAAGTGGAACCAATGTATTATAGCCTAGGCCTAATTTAAAATTGGATATACACGAGGTAAAATGACATTTTGGGGGCATAACAATACGGCCGTGGCAAGTTTGTCATGTTTGTGGGAGGGGCCTAACGGCTAAAATCTAGCCGTGATATCTTCAACATACGATGGTATAGGCGATCGTTCAGTCTCTATAAGGCCATGTAAAATTGATTTCATGTTGATCGTCCCCGCCCGCTTCCTTTTTGGGGGCCGCCTCCTATTTTTTGTTATTTGTTATTTTTTTTTTTTTGAATTTTTTTTTTTTTTTTGAATTTTTTTTTGATTTTTTTTTTTTTTGAAAGAAAAAAACATGAAAAACACTGCTAAAATGGCTCTATTTCTGATTTTAAAAAAAATTAATTGTCGGCGGCCATCTTGAAAAAAAATAGCCTCGACTGTCAGGGAAAATGTACCGAGCGGCCATTTTGAGCGGCCATTTTGAAATATCAAATATCAAATAACATGGTACACCCTCCTCCTCTTTTTCAAAAAATCCGGACGATCAACATGTAATCAATTTTACATGGCCTAACCGGAGGTCTAGTGGAGCCAGACGTAGTCTCAGTGGAACAACCGACGATTATAGAGACTGAAGCTTTCGGTCTAGGTCACTATGAGCAAATGGGAGTTGTGAACTTGTGGTTTTTAACTTTTTATCAGGTAAGTTTTTGTGGAGTTTTTTTATTTCACTGGTTTAAACGACCAATCTACTGCAGGATAAACAATTCACAATAAATGATAGCAGTTTGCTCTCAAAATACGATTCCCAAACCAGAGTTATATTTCTGGACACTTGGAAATAATAAAGCCTTCTCTTTTGCATTTGGTTTACAGAAATGAAAAATATTCTTGAATGAAATAGCACTAGATCTTCTAGATCTAACCATCATGAATATTTGTCCTTTCTAATAATATACTCCCAACTTATTAAATTCTTAGAAGATTTATGAAATATTCAATAAAGTTCTAATGTTCTATAGACCTACTTCTTTAAATTGCTGTTTTCCTCAACCAGCTCGAGCTCTAACTCGAGCTCAATTGTGGAGCTGAGCTGAGCTGAGCCCGATCCCCCACCGCCCGGCACGGCACCCCCAGCGTTCGCCGGGGATGCTCGGTCGATTACTCACATCAATCTATTTCAAGAATTAAAAGAATTTACGTACCATCGCCGTTACAAAAGGTGATTTTCTGGTGACAAATAAGTAGGCACCTACACTCAGAATAGCACCAACGCCGCATGCAGTGCTTCCGAATCGTGGCACCGCTTTGGAAATTCTGTAAAGGACGCGAGTTATCATTGAGAGTCGCTTTTCGATAACGACCATTAGTAGGCAAAAGTTCAGAATAGAGACTCCGGGAAAAGTAAACAAAGAGCCTAATTCTTCAGTGCGCCAACCTATTGTTTTCTACACACACGCATGGGAAAGGTTAGTCATTATTTTCTGAAGCAAAAAATGCTATGGTATCTGTAATGAAATAATTCCTCGATAACTTTTTTTTCCCTCTCTTGGCATGTGAAAACAAAGCACAGCCAGAAGTTCCCCTGATTTAAGGAGGAGTTCTTAAATATCTTTTAACTTTGGAGTCTCTTCGAGGAATTCCAAGGAGCCGGATTATAAAAATAGACGGATTTTTCGGTCTAGTGAAAACAATCCCGGCCTTTTTGCTGCTTCTGTCCTATCATGCAGTCACGCATATTACTTTCTCATACCATGCAGACATTGAATATTAACATTTTTCTCATAAATGCCCCTTTTCACCTATGAAAATAGTCCCTGTTCATTCTCATACTAGTGCCCCTTTTCATCTCTGGTAAATGACCCTATTCATTTCTGAGAGATACTCGTTTTATTTTTGACAAGTGCCCCTTTTCCTCCTGATAAGTGCTCTTTTCATTTCTAATAACAGCCCCTTTTATTTTGACAAGTGCCCTTTTTCCTTCCTAATAAATGCTCTGTTTCCTTCTTGCAAGTGCCTCTTCCCCTTTTTATAAAAGCCCCCTGTCATTTCCAATAAATGCCCCTATTAAAATCTGATCTGTGCCCCTTTTCTTCCAACAAATGCACATTTCCCTTAGTATTAGTGCCTTTTAATTCATTCTCATAAGTGCCTCTTGTCATCAGTATGGTCAGTGCTCCTTTTCAGATGCGATAAGTACCCCTTTTCAACTCTGATAATTACCCTTTTAACAATGATAAGTGCTCCATTTCCTTTCTTATAAGGAACCTATCCCTTTTTCATAAATGCCCCTATCAAAATCTGATGGCTGCCTCTTTTCCGTTGAAAAATACCCATTTTCCATTCTCATAAGAGCCTTCTTCATCCCTGGTGAGTGCCCCATTTTCACCTGTGAAAATTAACCTTTGTACTTTGACACGTGCTCCTTTTCTTTTCTAATAAGTGTCGTATCCCTTCGATAAGTGTCCCCTTTTCCTCTCATCATTAAACGTGCCCCTAATTTCAAGCGACTAGAGGCGCGTAGCCAGGGGGGCGATGGGGGCGGTCGCCCCCCCCCCCCCCCCCAAAAAAAAAAGAGAAAGAGAAGGAAAAAAGTAAGAGGACGTATAGGAAGAAAAGGGGAAAGGAGTCGAGAACGTTACAACGAAGCGTCTTCTTTCTCTAATAATTTAAAGAAACGTCAAAACTTCCGCGCTTCGCACGGAACGGGGGAAATTGAGTTCAAATTAAGGATTAAGAGTCGAGAACGGAACAAAGAATCGTCTCCTTTGTCTAATAATACGTCAAAGCTTCCGCGCTTCGCGCAGAAGGAGGGGGGAACTGAATTCAGACAAGGATTAAGAGTCGAGAACGGTACTTCGAGTCGTCTTCTTTCTCTAATAATTTAACGAAACTTCAAAGTTTCCGCGCTTTACGCGGGAGGAGAGGAAACTGAATTCAGATAAGGATTAAGAGTCGAGAACGGTACATCGAATCGTCTTCTTTCTCTATAATGAAACGTCAAAACTTCCGCGCTTCGCGCGTGAGGGGGACTGAATACAGATAAGGATTAAGGGTCGAGAAAGGTACAACTAATCGTCTTCTTTGTCTAATAATCCGTCAAAGCTTCCGCGCTATGCGCAGGAGGGGCGGACTGAATTCAGACAAATGTTTCTGAAATGACATGATTTTCTGGTATTTTTTCTCGATTTTTTTGTAATTCATACCTTTTTATGCGTTTGTTGGAAAATTAGAAATTCCCAAATTTACAGTCGGGCGAAAAATATGCTTTTAAAATTTAAAAGCCTTTATGTCATGGTCTGCAAAACGGCTGGGCTCGGGGGCTCGAGCCCCCTCACTTTTTGAAAAAGTAAGTTACAGAGAAAAAGAAAGAGAGAGTGAGAGAGAAAAAAAAATAAGTGACCTGCCAATGTCACAAATGAGGGGGGGGGGGGGGGGTAGTGAGCACATTTTTTTTTTTTTTTGATCCTCAAAAAAAAAATTCAATTTGCACCCCCCCCCCCTTGAGCGCCAGGGGGGGAGGGGCCCAACCCCCAAAAAAGTTAAAAATCACGTGATTTTACATGATTTTTTTCTCAAGGGGGGGGGGCCCGGGCCCCCCGGGCCTCCCCCTGGATCCGCCACTGCCCCTGGATGCTCATCTGATCGTAGTTAAATATTAATATCTCTGAGCTTCCGGGGCTCTTCCCTCTGGACCACATTATTTGCCTTAAAGAGGGCCCCTGGATGCTCATCTGACCGTATTTTAATGCCTAAAATCCCTGAGCTTCCGGGGGCTCAGCCCCTTGACCCCCTGCCGAGGCTCAGGCCCTGGACCCCACGGCAATTTACGCTCTACCTGATCGTTAGTACTCCACTTTGAAAAACGTTCCGCGGGGCCTGCATGTAACGTGTAATAGTAGTGGTGATGCAGATTTTTCTTGTGCCCCCCCCCCTTCCAAACGTTTTTGCTCATTACGTTACTGCCCCTGGAAGGTGAGCCCCTGGAACGTTTGCCCCCCCAGTGGCGGATCCAGGGGGGGGGGCCCGGGGGGCCCGGGCCCCCCCCCCCCCCCCCTTGAGAAAAAAATCATGTAAAATCACGTGATTTTTACCTTTTTTGGGGGTTGGGCCCCCCCCCCTGGCGCTCAAGGGGGGGGGGTGCAATTGAAATTTTTTTGAGGATCAAAAAAAAAAAAAAATGTGCTCACTACCCCCCCCCCCCCCCCCCCCCCCCCCCCCCCCCCCACTGAGCGAAGTTGGGCCCCCTCCCCTAAGAAATCCTGGATCCGCGCCTGTGCCCCCCCCCCCCCCATTCCCAATCTGCTTCCGGCACGCCTGGGGGGTATTGGCAGAGGGGGAAGAAGAGAGAAAGAGAAAGAGAGAGAGAGAGAGAGAGAGAGAAAGAGGGGGAGGGGAGACAGAGAGGCAGACAGACGGAAAGAAGAACAGGGAAGAGAACTGTGAGAGATGTAACCAAGTATCTCCTTGGTCTAACACACACTCTCCCCCCCCCCCCCCTCTCTCTCTCTCTCTCTCTATCTCTCTCTCTCTCTCTCTCTACCTCTCTCTGCCTTCCCTTCTATCTCGTTATCTCTCTCTCTCTCTTTCTTTCTCTCGATATTCTCTTCTTTTCTCTTCTTTCTTTCTTTCTTTCTATCTTCTTTCTTTCTCTCTTTCTTTCTCTCTCTCTCTTTCTCTCTTTCTTTCTTTCTTTCGTTCTCTCCTCGGGGCCGCTTCTGATTGTCCCAAACATAACTGCTACTCATCGCTATTTCATTTTGTGATTTATATTACAACAATACTTGACTTCAATGGATTACAGCATGAGCGATTAAGCACAAAAGCACGCCTCTCCATGAGAGTTTGTCCCCTTTTTGCGTCGCCCTGGCAACGCTTGTAAATCTGGCAGGTGGATTCGCTGTCGCCCGAGATCGTTGAGTACGCCAATCGGTTTGTTTTCTTCACAATAAGAAGGGCTTCAAACTACAAGTGTGATAGACCATAGCTTTCTTGACCCTTTGTGAGCCAACAAGAGATTATAGAATATAGAGGTAAGCCGTTATTTTGTTGTCTTGTAAGAATTAAGAGAGAGACAGAGATTTGAGATTAGACCAGGACAGTTACATGTACTATGTTTGTGAAAGGCAAGGCTGGTTGTTTTTCATGTTCGGGTGAGTGTATTATCAAGATCGCATTGTCGTAATATATATTTCGCGTTATACTATAGTATATGGTCGAATATACTCTTCGCAATACGGGGGCGCGCACTGTTCGTACCTGCATAATAATTGAGTTTCTGAAAATACACTCCCGAAACTCCCACTTTAGCCGGATTAAAAACATCGATTATAAATACTGTACTCACACGCGAAGTGTGATAATATATCTCCCTATATGTAAACAGAACTTATCTGTGTGATTATGACGATTTGATCAATATAATCATTGCAGTTGTGCACCGATCTCAATCTGAGAGAGAAACATTTTTCATGCGGAATTCGAATTAGCCTATTATTTATGCTGTACTAATATTTGAGGCGTTGACGTTTTTCTTTTTCTTTTCTTTTCTGCAGAAACTTTTTTAATTCAACATATTTTTGAAGCATTATTAGGTTAGAGCACATTGGGGAGTAAAAATGCATATCAATAAGTGGACATACTAAACTCCCATTATTTTATAAGATCATGTTCACCTTGTCTGTCTATTTATGCATCTTGAATGGTCAGATCATGTTATAAACAAATTTAATAAGCAACCCAGAGATAGACCTAAATTAAGATAGATCATGGTTATTGTAATACAAATTTTGGTATGGGGTCATGAATTCGATTCAAATGAACATATTGGAAGCATATGCGATCCTACGATATTCAGTGATCGTTGTTGCGTGGCGAGTTTAAAGTTATGAAATTGTAAATAATAAACTCTTCATGTTGTAAAGCTCCCTCTAGGTCAAGATATTAATAAAGCTTTTATACAATGTTTCTTGACTAAAATCGACCGACCGAACTATTCCCGTTTGGAAATTATATATCGCGACTACATATTCTGAGATTTTCATGCTCGCAGCTACCATTGTACGGCCGTAGGCGCTATTTGAAATTTATCAAAATTTATCAAAATTTACCGGGAGCACCGGTAAAATGGTAAATTCAATTTTTCTCGAAATCAGAAGTGTTTTAGGGGCTCAATGTTCTAGTGCTACATCCATAGGGGCATCCAAATACATCAAAATTGTAAAGAATCACTATCAACCCAATTTTCAAAATTTCCCAAAACTTTGTATTACAAGTGAACGAACTAATATGTTGTTAGGGATGTCCAAAGTCATTCCTGATTAATTGAGATATCAAACTCATTTAATGATTTCAAAGATATTAAGTATAGTGTAGAAGATATACTGGTTTCCCTTTAAATGCATTGCGACATTATTTTCGTGTAACTGATTTTTTATTTTAAAGTGCAGCGCCATGCACTTCCCCCTCTTCATGGGCGTAATGTACATTCTGTTCATGCAGAAAGTAATACCATGGAGTTACTAGGCTAGTAACTCCATGGTAATACTCACCATTTGAAGTCGACTATCCCATATCACCTGTGCATTGTCATATTTTGACAGGGAACTTATATTCTAGAGTGATTTTATAAGGCTCTATATACAGCTGTCATCAGTTTGAAATGGGTTAAAGTTATTTTGGAATATCTTACCCTGAACAGTGGTATACTATTTTCTTTTGCTACAGGGAGCTAAATTGATTTGATGAGGTCATGGCTCTAGCTGTGGTCAGTTTAAAGTGGGTTCATCGTGAAATACATGGGAAACCACCATCACCAAGGTAACAAAATCAAACATTCTCAGCTTGTATTATTATATTATATTTTGAAAATGCACGTAGGCTTAATAAGCCATGACAATATGATAGGCCTATATGTATGTAAGTAAACTTTGTTCAATTTCTTTTGTATTTGTAACCTATGATTTGTACAGTGCCTCTCAGGAAAACAGTTTTAATACTGAGAAAGAACACCTCCCTGTTTTTTTTTATTGTTTTTTTTTTAAATAGAATTAAACCTCCTCTTTATTTCTGTTTTTACAGGTTAACCTGAAGATTTGTAAGATGAAAGTTTTGGTCGTTATTGAAATTCCATGGTTACAGACGTTGCTATAACATTGAAATGAAATCATAACTGAATTAAGATATCATCAATAGTATTATGTTGTGTGATGAAAGGACACAATAATAACATATATTAAACAAAAGTTACTCAATTTGGCAGAATAAATTATCATTCTGAAATCTTTTTTGATCCTGACACTCTACTGGTGAAATGTATTATAGAATTCTCATTGTAGAAGGATAATACAGAATTATAACAATAATTAATTTACTTTGAAACGACTGTAAAAGTGTAATCGTCTAAGATATCTAAGATTAAATAGAGCATAAGCATCTAAGATGGTTAATACAGGTATAATTTTAATTTTGCCACATTACTTCAGGTTATATTCCTCCTATCTGGTTACATTTTTATAAATGAATATTGTATGATAATACATTCACCAGCCAAATAACTTTTACCAGCCGATACACCTATATAAACAATGATGACTGGTATTATTTAGATTTTAAACATTGTGTATCTTTGTTTCAGACAAGGACATAGTGCGTGTATCATAGGAGACGTAGCTTATATCTTCGGCGGTATCAGATCGGTGGACTGGCCTAAGAAAGTAAGTTCACTTCCAATTATTGAATTTCGTTGGTTTCTATTTCAAGCTCATGTTCAATTTTATTTAATTCCAATAAAGGCATATACACATACAAATTAAAAAATACAGCAGAGATGCCAATAATTATACATGGAATCAAGGGTACCATAAAATACCAAGTCGGTCTTTTCGAGATAGTCCCCTTATGAAGAACAAAAATTGAAAGTGCTCGAAAGCGAGAGGAAAGTACAAAAAAATTATGTTGATAGAATTAACACAAATATTGGTTGGTTGGTTTGTTTGATTTAATTGACAGCTATAGGAAAGCTTGAGTCCTCTCCGATGGACTTGGTAATAAGGATTAATGCCTTACCAAAGGGCACTATATAGTGCATCGATTCGGTTTCGAACCCATAACTTCCAGGTAACGGGACCACTGCTCTTCCACTGAGCCATTGCGCCTTCCTGAATATTAAATATTGTTACGCTAATTATACTAGCGAATTGTTCATGTATCTTCTATTGGGGTGGTATCCTGATGATAGAATTAATTCAATCCATTTATATATTTGCATATTTTATTTTATTTTCACTTAATTTCTTGATTATCAATCTCATATCCAAATACATCTCTCCGATACTTATTTAACATATGTAATTTCGCAGCAGGATATTGAAAAAAAATAATCCCTTTAGATTAACTTAATTGTTAATTTCCTTTTCATTCCATTTAAGAAATTAGCAAAGATAGTCAATTATGTGCTTGACAATAATTATGCACAGTTGAGTATTTGTGTCCATGGACACAATTCTTGATATGAAGAAGCCTCCTCTTTTTTTTTTTTTACTTTGATGTAATTTTAACATCAGCGAAATAGAGTGTAGTGAAAAATATATTTCAATATTCAAATGCATTATCTCTCTCTCTCTCTCTCTCTCTCACACTCTCTCATTTAATGTAACAGGGAACATATTTTTTCAGAGATCTGTTTCAGCTTCATTGTGAGTATTTTGCATGTTTTGATTAATCATTTGTTTTTGTTTTGTTTTGTTTTGTTTGTTTCTTTGTTTGTTTACTTGTGTGTTTATATGTGTTGGTTTTGATGGTTTCATATTTAAATCATATATGTATATTATTGTTTTGATGATGTGATAACAATTTAAATATTATATTGACATGTTTGTATGACAATCAGTATACAGGGTTTGAATATAAAAGTGCCTTATTTCATAATCCGAAAATAAATTTCACAATTCCTTTGATTATTTTCTGTTATACATTTGATTATGAAACCCTTGTCCCTTGTATTCCCCCTATACCATCTCCCCTTCTGCAAACCTCCCATTCCTCCGTATTTCTTTGTTTTTCAATGGGTTTGTTATTTTTGTAAATTGTTATTTTACTACCCTCTCTAACTTCTATCTTTCTTCTTCAGTATACAAGCGTATGCAATGGGAGAAGGTAAAACAGAAAGGAGAGATCCCCCAAGGGAGATATGGACATCACATGTGGTGAGTATATAATCTATAGATCCACGACTTCCAGAAAACATTGTACGGTGAAAATGATGAATACCAAATTCATGCTGGCTGACGATTTATAAGATATTCGGGGTGGGAAACATCAAAAATCATCAAAAACTGATATGTTCATTTATTCTATTTCATCCATTCGTTTATCATATTATCCATTAATTTATCCATTTATTTATTTATTTAATTATCTGTCTATCAATATATTTATCAGTCTATCTATTTATTCGGGCCTATTCATAATCTATTTATCTCTGTTTCAAATGCTACAGCAACCTATCAAAAGCTGATTTTAAAAAAGTATTCCTTTACTTTATTTTAATTCATTTATGTTTTCAATTATTTCATTTATTCATTTATCATTGAGTCATTCATTCACGGTTTATTACAATTTATGAATGGCAGCTAATAGCTGCAGTGCTCAGAATATTTAAAGCCAAATATAAATTCGGCGTAAAGAAATTGAAATGATTCAGAATTACTAGTCTTTGATCAAATTGATAGTTTTCATTCCAAAAAATATAAATCAAATTAACGTTTCATTCCCTTTAATTTGTCTTTATTTGTTTCCAATTTCAGTGTGATTGGTCATAAAATCTACCTGTTTGGAGGAAAGCATGAGCTGCATGCTGATAGGTGCCTCCCAGGGCTTCATGTATTTGATACAGGTAAGGGTGTATCCATCATACAGTAGCACTGTGGCACTAGGGGTGACAACTCTTCGGCTCTTTAAGTAGTACCATTGGTCCTGACCTCATATACTTATTTCCATATCTTGTCGTTAGGGGTTGCGTTAGGGTTATGGTTAGGGATAGTTACCTGATTATTTGCTCTGAAATGTGCATATTAATTTTTTTTTTTTTTTTAAATTAAAATTAAAAAAACGTTACTTATAAAGCGCTTAACACCGAAGTCTCTATGCGCTAAAAGAGAGAGCCTTCGCCCGGGCTCGAACCGGGGACCTTCTGCGTATAAAGCAGACGTGATAACCACTACACTACAAAGACACACTGCAAAGACAAAAAAGAGACACACTCCACAATGCCGATGTACTATGTTAACATAATTATAATATGACCGAAAGTTAGGACCGGTCTTATATCAGATATCGTATCCATGTTTGTGAAGTGTTATAGCGCCATCATTCGGAACATTTGAGCAACATTTGTTTCATATAATTTGTGCAGCACATTTTCCCTATTAAATATAGGGGCAGAAAAACGTAGTTTTCTGAGGAATTTGAAGGTATAGCATGCAGTGCAATAGAAATTTATTATTCTAGTCCTCATATTTGTATTATTGTCGCTGCTCCCCTGTGTAGTAGATCAAGTACAAAAGGTGAGAAGGTGATCAATATGTCACCACGCTCACCCTTGGTCCATGGGGAGAAGGAAATACATCCAAGGGATTGGAACTATTGGATTCAAAGTTCCACATGCCGTGAGATAATGTGCATTTTGTTGTTCGAATTTTTTCATGAAATTATCATTGTCCATCTTGTTTTTTTTTTGCATCAGAGTTTTCTGTCTCCCTTCACTAACTTCACTGGTATTCTCAGGAGGCTAGAAAAGAGGAACGAATATTCATATGAAATTAATAAAAATAAAGAGCAGTTCTGAATTGGGATAAGTACCAGGTGTATCCAGGTGTATCCCACTCTTGCCACCATTAATGCGTCAGTGTTTTGTTGCATTGTTTTTTATCCATTTTCTTGTAATTGATATAAAGGTTACGTGTATACATATCCGAAGAAATAAAATTGAAACCGATCATAGTGAAAAAGAGAACTCTCAAAGATTGTTATTTTTATTGTTTTAATTATTAATATTGCTCATTCTCGTGCCCGTGAATCGATAAAGATGTAATTTTTCGTCTTTAACTTTCTTTTAATTCGTTGAAGTGAATTTCTTTCCCTCTATAGAAAAGAAAACATGGTCTCAGCCCCAGACCAGCGGTACTGAGCCAGTTGCTCATGGCAGCACCTCCTCGGTGATAGGGAATAGAATCTATATCTACGGTGGCTTGGTGGACGGCCAAGCAGTGGATGATCTGCATTGCTTTGACTCGGGTTCGTAATGATTTAATCTCCCTCATTTATAATCTGTCAAGAATTCCTCATCAGAGACCATGGCCCGAATTCACAAAGGAGGTTTGTCTACAAACCTAGGTTTATGTGTTATGACGCGTTTCGATGCGTTTAAGACCAAGATTCAGACAAACCTTGGTCTGAAACGCGTCAAAACGCGTCTTATGACGCACATAAACCTAGGTTTGTCTACAAACCTCCTTTTTGAATTCGGGCCAATGTGACTATATATAGAGAGAGAAACATAATTAGTCACCTTTCGATGCTGTGGTAGATCATACTATTCATTTTATTTTACATATAAATTTTATATACAATTTTTCATGTGTGTTTTTAAATATTGTTGCTTCTAACTTTTCTCTAAACTTTACCATTTGTAAATGACTGTTTGTATTGCTCATTTAAAATAAAAACATAATTATGATATGACTTGTATGTTACTATATTCAACATATTAAGCTCTCATTTACAATCTTTCGTTATATATTAACAAAATTATCAAAGTAAACATGATGTGACTCCATATAACCTTACTTGATAAACAAATACATTATGAAAAATAATATATATATATATATATATAATGCCGAAAGAAGAAATGCATATAATATTATAATCTGTGTTGTGCGTTCTACATTTCATAAAATATTGATGTGTATCCTTTTGTCTTTGTCTTTTTTATTTTGGGGGAGTTTTCACTCCATTAGACCTGAAACTTGTTACTTTTTACTTCTAACTTTGAAGGAAAACTATAATGTTCGTCTCTTTGTTAACAAAAAACTAAATATAAATAAACTATCGTCAAATATTCATCATTATCTATCCTTTATTTGCCTGTTTGTATTTCTTTCTTTTTTTAAATAATATTTGTATATTAATTGTTTTGACTAACTACCTTCTCGCATGCCTCTCCAGAGAATCAGTGGTGGGTTAAACTCACTATCCAAGGAGTGCCACCATCACCGAGGTAAATCTTTATTCTTTCTGTAAATATAGTTTTTTTTTTCTTTTCTTTTTTTCATTTCTACTCTGATATACTTTTGTCAGTCTGTTTCAAAAACTTTTAAAAAGGTCGTTTTTCATTACTACTTCGATAAATTTGTGTTAATCTGTTTACAAAATTAATCCATCCTAACTAAAGTTCCCTTGTCATAACAAAAAAAAATAAGAGAGACTGATCACAGAAAACATTTGGAAAATTAGACTATTAAAAAGTAACGATACGTTTTTATGATAGAAGGCCCTGCTTTATAATGTCTTGGCAATTGATCAGCCGCAAAATACAAAATTATTATTGTCAATAACTGAACTGAACATTACCTATACTCATTGCCTTGTGTACCAACTAATGTCCCCTTTCGCATTACGATGGAAAACTAACAGTTGTTTGAGGTACATACACTCCCATGCACTTTGACGTCATGCATCCCCTTCATCCGCTTGGGGTCAGAAGGTCATTAATTCATATTATGTCAAAGTCAGCAACCTTCTGGCTCTGAACGGATGCTTTAATATATCAATCAGAAGTCACTGACATGGAGAAATAATTTCACTACAAGAAGGGTGAATGATACAAAAATATACAAACTAGATAGACTGAAATTACCTAAAGTGCCAATATCTGACTGAAAAAGAAATTGTTGATCTTCATTACAAGATTGTTTAGTGTACTCTATCTTTTTTATTTATCTAAATTATCAGATGTGATTGTGCAAGCACCGCTGTAGGACATGAAATGTTTGTGTTTGGAGGAACCGCTGGGACAGACCAATGGTTTAATGACATCCATGTCTTCAATGCAAGTAAGCATCCTACTATTAATTATTAACAACTAATTATATCATGCCTAACTGGTATCTAGTGTAGTTAGATTTTACATCGTATGGCTTGGTCTTGTACCACGAAATTAAGTTTGGACACGGTCTAAATTCATTGTATGATATCATTATTATTGTTTCTATGGTGTAAGTGTTCTTTAATGTAGTTTATATAGAAAGCGAGAATATGTATTTCACATTCAGAGTATTGAAGATACATTGCTCTGTATTTGAGGGAAAATAATCAATAGCAAAAGCAATTAATTTAATTAAGTTATATAAATAAGTAGTTTAATAATGGCACGTATATGACTAGAGACGACATTGTTAGAATGTACTTAAAGAGAATGTTGAGTTCTGTTGATCGAGAGGTAAAAAATAATTTGTGAGCGTTAAGATTGTTATTGTGCAAGTGCGGAAGAACGTCAGAGAAAAAAATGTTCCCTGAAAAGCATGGCTCTTTAAATGCCTTCATATTCTGAATATGACGAGTAACAGCTTAAAAATGAGGCCCGGTTTTTATGCCACATGTTTGTGTAGTTCCATATACATCTTTCTGTGTACAGTGCTTGTTACTTTACCAAGACTGGGCCAAATTTCGTATCATTGTGATGACTCCAGAACCTTGCAGTACACACCGATCCTGATATGCTACATGATCAACTTTTTCTGATCGATTCTACACCGTTTCTTCCACAATGCAATCGCACGACTAGAACTCAACTTTATCTTTAAGATATTGTCTCAATTGCCTCGAGTAAACATAAATTCTCATTTACTTTTTACACTGGTTTATATGCATGATATTGTCTCTTTTCCCTTAATAAACAGAGAAACTTTTGTGGAAGGTGCTGAACAAAACGGATGGAGAACCACCCACACCAAGAGGCAGTCACTGTTTCCTGGCTCATACTGACAAGGTAAAAAAAAAATGCTTTGTTAAACAATTATCACATTAGAACACTTGAAAATAGATAATTGTATTCAAAAGAAAAGATTATGAACCTAAGATCATAACAACTGACCCTTGAATGGAAGTTCTTCATGATAAATTTATAGAAAACCTGACATCTCATTGATTTTTATACAAAATTGGATATAATTATGTTTGCTGTAATTCACAAGGGGGAAATAGTTTACATTTAAATATTTTTGTTTGTACAAGTCATGTTAAATGGTAATTTAGTGACAGGAGTGAGATTAAATTTTACATTCTAAATGTACCATTCATGTAAGAAGGTGTTATTTCAGAAGTAGACCTAGGCCTGTTTCATAAAACTTGTTATCAAGAACAAGTTACAAAACTGTTATAAGCTACTGAAGTCGTGGCATTTGATTGGCTGAGAACAAATTTGCCATAGAAATTTAGCATTTGTTATTGATAACAAGTTTTATGAAACATGGCCCAGATATACATTGGTGTCAGTAGTATAGTGATATGATAATCAAGTGTGCTTTTTTTGTTGATGTCGTGATTTGGTTCTAATTCAGGAACAGGCCTCATAATGACATAATATTTTATAATCAAAATGTTCTTCGTTCGTAAAAGACATGTTCTTAAAATTAAAATGGTGTTAGGAGGGAGATAAAAGTGTACAAATCTCAATGAATTTTATATGTACAATGTACTTGTTGTGATTAAGGTGCTGATTCAAAAGTACATAATACATGTCGGTGTCCTCAGTGAGATGATAGTTTACCATAGAAATGTAGCATATTATTTTGTGCAAGTTATGATTTAAGCGTCTACTTCAAAGGTAGGCCTAATGTATGGTGTTGTCAATGTAAACGTTTACAATCATTTCAACCTCCCTTGTACGACAGGCCTTATTTATAATAACTTCAGTGGTCGGATAATCCTTTACAATAAAAGCTTGTCTGTACACGCCATACTTTGAAGCACTCATTCAGCAGTATACCTGTTGGTGTCAGGAAATTGATAAATTACATACACCCTATCAGTATTTTGTTTCTAAAAGCCATGATTTAAAATGCTATACTCTGTGCTAAATCGGCGGTAGATCGAATGTTGATGTTAGCGATTTTAACAATTGAAATGTAATTGTCTTTTGTTTTCAGGACATATATGTCTTTGGTGGATCGAATGATTCCAATTCCACACACCCCACCCTTGGTGATTTGTACAAGTTTAGCCTGGGTAAAAAATGAAAATATGAAACAAAATTACCTATATCAAAGCTTTTTGTGGCACGCTGAACTCACTTTACTAATGCTCGTTGACACCCTGTGGATATCAATTATTTATAGAGTTCTAGGTGATAGTCTGGTGGATTTCATATATGCTATCAAAGTTTTTACTGATATGGTGATCTCGGTCATAATAATTATGTTCTTTTGAGGAGGTGCAGCATTATGCTTCAAAGGCAACTAACAATGATAATGCTTGAATGTATAACCCGAGTTCTAGGTAAAAGATATTGATAACCAGTCCAGTATGTAACTATTTGCCTAGCACATGAAGAATTATATGTTATCTTAAAGGAGCTGCACTATAATCAAAGGCACTAACAATAAGAGCTTCATTTTTTTTCTCCTCTGGTTATATAGCTTCTTCCTTTCTATCTCCCATATCTCTCTCTCTCTCTCTTTCTCACACCCATCTCTCTCTTTTTTTCTTTCTCTCTCTCTTTCATCTCTCTCTCTCTCTCTCTCTCTCTCTCTCTCTCTCTCTCTATATATATATATATATATATATATATATCTTTCTATCTCATCCATTCTTCTATATCCCTCAGTCTCATAATTTCCCTTTTACTCATGATTTAAAATGTGCAGGTGTTAAGATTTTACTTAAAACATTGCTTTCTCGCTCTCTCCACCCCCTTGTACTTATATGAGATGCTTGTATTATATTTCATACCAGTGTTTCCAATATAAGTCGTCCTTGCCAATGTTGATGTGATTGTAAAAAGCTGCTTTATAAAGGTTAATGAATATGGTAACCAGGTAAGGAATATCTGTATAATATATCTCAAATCTCTTTATAAATTAGTGTTTGTGATTGACATCTTGCATACAGTTATGGACTATTTATTTTTTGGCTAAGAAATAACTGATTTTCTAGTCAACCTCGTAAAGCTTCACAATAGAATATATCACCATCTTTTGAAAAACGAATAAATCTTAACTTTCAGTTAGCTCTCATTAATGTATAAACAATATTTAAGCATAACTTCATCATTTTATGATAGGCCTAAAGCGAGGTTTTTTTTAATATTTCCTTTTTACAAAGTGTATTTAGCAAATTTCAGCATTATACAAATACTTTCAATTTTGCACTCTTGGTGATGGTGATGTTTCATTAGGTGGAATCTACTCCCTCAACTTATTGCCTTATTACTAGTTATCACCTCGTATTCATATTTTTCATTCATTATCTTCTTCACACTTTATCTTAACACATTGTCTTCTTAACATTTAAGATGACCAGTTGGCAGTTCATAAACAAAACGAATCGAACACTCATTTCACCTACACACACCCACATGTACACACTTTCAATTTTATTTCGTATCTTTCTTTTATTACTTCCCACTTGTTACACACACAAATAAAACACAATCACGAAGGCTTTCAAGAAATCATGTACGGATTACGTAATATGTATTGTTTTTGTTTTTTTACATTTCAGTGCATGCAGGTGATTCTCGAGGCTACTAAAAACTGCCTTAAAGTTAGATTTTGGAAGTCTTTGCGATTGCGTTTTTTACATGAAACTGAAAAGACTCAATTTATGATTTTTGTTTATTTTGATATCCACCAGACAAGCGTAAATGGAAGCGTCCATTCTTTGGAGGATGTCCACCCGCGAAGAGGTCTGGTCATGCAGCCATCATACACAGAAGCAAGGTAACCATTCGTAGCCAACTGATTAATGAACAGCAAACTATAATGTATAATGGGATTTAATCTCCAACTACAGTGCTACCATTTTTACCTCTTTGAATTATGAACCATCTTCTTTAAATTGTAAATATTTTTTTCCTGCCACGCATGGTGTTTCCTTGAAATTTTTATATTGAGAAACACATTTTATTCGCCTTCTATAAGGCTTCCAGAAGACACATACTGAATATGATACAAAGTAAACTATTTCTGTTTATATAGATTAAGATGAGTTTATTGATCAGAAAATGTAGTAACAAAACATTAGTATTAACAGTTACTCAAAGCGTTTGAAAAGTCGGATAATTATTCTATGTTATTCCTGAGATATAAATAAATGGACTGGAAACCGTGGGTTTCGTTGAGTTACATGTATTTAAATCACTAAATTACATTTATTTCGCACTCTTCTTTTTTTCTTCTTCTTCTTGCAGTTGATTATAATCGGAGGAAGCAATGAAGATACAGACTTCAATGACGTCCACATCGCCAAACTCATCAACCCATCAAAAAGACAACCATGTAAGTCAAAATGGATTAGGAAGGACTTACATCATTCTCACCTTGCTTTCACAAATAAACAACAACGAAAGATCATTTTCCCAAAAGTAAAATATAGTATTTTCTGACCGCCAAATACTAGCAATCCGTTTCTTTAATAATATTCTGGCAAGATGCTCTTCTCTTCTCCGTAAACTTTTTAAGAATCAAGAAAACTGTCTGCTATCTCTTGCCATACATTTTAAGAGGGTACAATCACGTCGGTTATTTACACGGTGTATTTCATACCATAAGGGCCTGTGAGCTCCGCCAAGTGCTAAGATCTTTTTCCTTTAATATCTCTCCAAGTTCTCAATGTTTAGATGGGTATGCTCTGATCCTCTTTCGTCTTTTATCTTTTGATCACCGGTAGCGAAAACGAAACATAACAGCGTTCTTAGTGGAGCTCACCATGTTATAGCTCACATCTTCTTCAAAGAATAATGATGTAATCCTGAAAGCTTCATATACAAAATAAAACGTATTATTTTTTTTTATTTTTTTTTTTTATTTTTTTTTTTATCAGTGAAAGTACCGGCTGGTGACATGCATGCCTTCCTCAACAACATCAACAGCTCTGACCCTCGACCCATGGTCGTGGACGGAGAGGACGCAGATGCACACTTTCACGAGAAGGAGGAGGATGCAGCTGAACCCGACTCAAAGGAGGCGGAGGGGTCAGAGGTCGATCAGAGGAATGATCAGCAGATGGGATCACAAGCTTCTCCTGGGTCACGGGAAGGCAGCGTGGCAGGATCAGATGCAGGTCAGTGTCGTTTTATTTCGAATCCCACTCCTGACACCTGATCTGATAATTGTTTTGTTTTGTTTGTTTGTTTGTTTTTTGGGTGTTTTTTTTTAGCCCCTCCCCCTGAGAGAAATAGAGAGAGAGAGAGAGAGAGTTAGAGAGAGAGAGAGAGAGAGAAAGAGAGAGAGAGAGAGAGAGGGAGAAAGAGAAAGAGAGAGAGAGAGAGGGGGTGATCTTGCTTTTGTATTTAAAAGAAAATAAAGTCAGAGGTCCATCAACAATTTGAGGAAAGGGAATTTACTTTTATGTGCTTTATATTGTAAAAGTAATTACTTTGCTTTGTTTTGGGTATCTGATTTTGTTCATGGGTTAGAAGTTCCTCTGCTGAATGCCCTGTTATATTTTCACTTTCAGATATGAAAGAAAGTCAAGGGAGATCTGTCCACTTTGAAGATGAAACAGATGGAAAACAGGATGCAGCTTCATTATCCTCATCGGCGGGCTCGTTAGCCTCCTCGGCAGGGTCACTGTCATCATCAGCATCCGCGTCATCAGGTTCATCTGGGGGGTCATCATCATCATCAAGCAGCAGGGGCTCTGATGGACCAGGAAGCAGCAACAACAACAACAGCAATAATAACAACGCTGTTGCGGATGTCAGGAGTGGAGTGAAGAAAAGTGTCAGGGGTAGCATTGTCCAACAGGGTATGGCAAAGAATTCAGGTGGTGGCTCAGAACATGCTATCATAAGCAAGTCCGATGAAGGTGAGAAGAAAGGGAAGGCAGATGCAGACGATGAAAGAAGAAGTCAGGTGGTATCACAGGATAACCAGGTTGAAGATGAATCCATCCAACGCATTCAGTCCGGAAAGCCACAGCTCGCTCCCATTGCCAACATTGAAACCGTGGCGCCTGTTAAGAAGCAGGGTAAGAAAGCTGGATCGAAAAAGAAGAAACCCAAGAAAGAGAAAGGTGATGGGAGACCGGTGGATGAAACCCAGCATCCTGTTCCAGGAGAGTACAGACCCTACCCACCCATGGACAGCCATCTTCAGAGGGTTCCAGAGGAAGTAGCATGGAATCACCACCCTGAGGATTGGAGAACCCTGAACTCTATCGCCCATCAACCACAGGAGCAGGCAGAGTCGGATGAAGAAAGTGAGGGTGGAAGTGAGAGTGAAAATGAAAGCGGGAGCGGAAGTGGAAGTGACAGCAGCAGTGAGGAGGATAGTGATGGAGATGATGATGATGATGATGATGATGATGATGATGACAATGAGGGCGGGGCTCCTGAAGCTCAGAATATGAATAGGTACGATAAGACACAGTCCAATCAACCTGATTCTCAAGAAAGACAAGGCGAGAGTAGTAAGGATGAAGCTGAGAGTGAGGATGATGATGGTAGTGGTAGTGGTAGTGATGATGATGAAGAAGAATCAGGCAGTGATACCGGAAGTGAAAGTGAGTCTGGAAGTGGCTCTGAAGATGAAAGTGAATCTGAAGAGGACTGAAATGCATTGGGCGGAAGGTATTTCATTCATTAATGCTGACATTGCTATTTCAATTTTTAACTAAGAATGTTCTAAAGAATGGTTCCTTACCTTGAATCTCTCTGTTTCTGAATTTTTATCTGGGTATTATGCAAAAAGAAGTACTTTCCATGGTAAATTTGTTTATTACTGTTCATTATGTAAATAAAAAAATGTGTTGATATATGTATGTGCATTTAATCTGCCTGTGATTTGCATCAATGAAGTAAAAGACTGAATGTTTATTGTGGGAGCAATTATATACTCACAAATAAAACGCAACCATATTATGGTTAATTTAGTTATTCTGGTTCAGTATGTAACTCATGGTTGGTTTCATATCGATATTGATATTTTGTTGGAAAATGTAATATATGTGTTGAAAATATTTGTGCGTTGGATCTGCCTGTCATAGACATATCTGTATGTAATTGATTTTTGATGTGGTTGTATACAAGAAATATTTATAGATTCATTATCACGAACCGTGATTTTATTCTGTTTTATCTTTTGGCGTGTATCATGAACTTTTGCTTTTAATCAACACAACCATTGCAATCTATGGTCTAGTATTTCTATTCCATTGTATTACATTCTATGATTATTTCCTTAAGCCTTTTCCGTTTCGTTGTTTGGTTGGTTTTTTTGTTAAATGTCTTGCTACAGGGTGTCTCAAGAAAAGGGAAGAAAATATCTTGATGAGAACGATCTGCCAAGTGGTTTCATAAACATTTATTCCATCCATTTATATATATAATTGTGGGATTTATTTGTACTCCATTGCAGGCCTAGTCATTTAAAATGAATCAGATATTATTTCATGTGAGTTGTTTAGAGGTCTTACATAGCACTCTCATTTAGCACAATCCTTCTTCTGCAATTGTAGTAATTTGACTGTTTGGTATTACTCCACTTAATTATTTAATCTTTTCAACACTTCGTATTATGCAGTATTATATTAATGTTTATACATGTTAAAAAGACATTTGGAAAAACTGGAATTACAATGTTCGGTTCCTATTTTGTTTCTTTGATCATGCTAATGACATGGTTTGATTGTGGTATCCTTGTTTGATTTTAAGCAGGGCTGCAATACTTGTAGCTACTTGCGCCCTCTATAATAGCCAGCAATGCCTAAGCGGTACCCGTTGGTTCCTATTGGCCCCTGCCAGTGACCACGCAGGGGGGTTTAATCCCCCCTGGCCAAACTAGTGCAGTATAGACTTTAATGCATACTGTACTAGACGTTCTACCGCAAAATCCACGCTAGCGCCATCTCAGCTCAACTGTGGTTCTCGCATCGCATACTCGAAAGAAGAGAATTTGCCAAAACGAGGCGAGAGAGACGCAATACGATGCTCTTGCTGGTGTTCATTATATATCATAAGTTCGTGGGTGATTAAAAGTGTGCACAGCACTTATCACAAACAAGATATATCACTAACGTTTTTGCTTGCAAAATGTTTATTTTCATCATTTAAGTTTACTTGAAAGAAAAGAATTTGCCAAAACGAAATAACAATGAGCTTATCTATTTTTCTACATCATTTCCCTTCTTGATAGGGACATCAAATATAAACCCTAATGCTATATTGTTTCCCTATAATGCTTTGCAATGAAAACTTCAATACTTTTTTTCCATTGTTGTCACCTATCATAGGATATAGCTTTTTATGACTATAAAGCGATGCTACATTTCCAGACTTGTAATGTATACATGTTGTTTTAAAAGCAATAAACGCCCTGTTGTTGGGAAAAGAAAGGGATTCTAGTCTCCGTTGTGTTTAGATTACCTCATTAGAATTTGCAATTGGGTCACAGTGATAAAATTTCATATAGCGATAAATCAGTTGTAAAATGAATATTATTATTTTATATATATATATGTGTGTATATATTTATTTTTTTAATTCTGAGTTTCGACATGACAGTATCCCAATCGAAGTAGCTTCCTTCAAGATGCCTGGATGTACCTGGTTTCATGGTGAAGGCTTTCCGTCCGTGAAGGACACGATAGTTATCCATGATCAACATGTCTCCTAGCGTAACAAAGTTTACTTTGATTTGATATGATTCGATCATTTACAACCCGAAATCACGTGACAATGATTTGATTTAATGTGGTTTAATAATAATGATGATGATAATAGTTATGATGAGAATAATGTATAAAAGTAATGATAACAAGAAAAATTATGATATTAATACTCCTACTATAACAATAACCAGGCGCCGATGAATGGGGGCCCGATGGGCGTGGCCCCCTCCCCTTTAAAGAACGGGGAAAAGAAAGGAAAGGAAAGGAAAGGAAAGGAAAGGAAAGGAAAGGAAAGGAGAGGAGAGGAGAGGAGAGGAGAGGAAAAGGAAAAGGAAAAGGAAAGAAAGAAGGGCTATACGGATACGAGTTAGACTTGGACCCAGGGCACTCACTTATCCGTATATAGGTCAAGGCCCCGGTCCAGGCCATGCTCCGAGATCTGGGTCATTTTCAAGTCAGAACTAGCCCTAGCCCTAATTCGCCTATATTTAACAACGATTGAATTTTCTCCCAGGAAACCTAACATTTGATTTTTGTTTCCCATTCAAATAGCGTTGTAAAGGAGGTGGAAAAAAAAAAATAATATTAATGCTTCGTCCTCGATGGTGAGAATGTTGACTTCTTTCTCGCTTAGCTAATTCCTGCGAACAGTGCAGTCCTGAAAGTTGTTACTGTATGTCATAGAAATATTAAAGGGATCGTTTAACAATGTTGAATCTGAGATGCACGGCCCTATGTACTACCAGTGTATGTGATAATGGTGTAATATTGGAGCCCTAAAAAAAAATTACGCTTCAAAATGATCAAGAAGTGCCTTTAAAAAGTAAAAATATTTGAGTGACCGGTTTTACCATACTGGGTGGGGGGAGGGGGGCAACAGCCTGGGAGGCAATGCCCTTTCGGCCCCCCCCCCCGATCTCCTTCTTTCCCCTTTTCTTTTCTTCTTCCTCTTCTTCCTTTCCCTTTCTCTCCTCTCTTTACCTTTCCGTTCTTTTCCTTCTCTCTCTCTCTCTCTCTCTCTCTCTCTCTCTCTCTTTTTTTTCGGCGGGGGGGGGGGGGGGGGGCAAGGCCCCTCGCGCCCCCCCCCCCTGGATCCGCGCCAGGAAGACCTGTAGTGTCATCCCTAGCTAGCTGGCAAAGCTGAATATGGGTTATCAAGCCGTTTCATTCATTGAGTTCGTAAATAGCTCTGGACCGCATGACCCCAAAATATCCACAGACCCGTATTGACTATACACACCGGACTTTTGCTGAAAGAGGGGAGGGGGGTGGTCGCTGGACACACACATATGCGTACCCTAAATAAGGCCT